TTTTAAGTAAAGATCTTAAATTTGCCCCCACTAATCCCTTCAAACCTTTTCAAGCATTTCTAGATATTAACAAATTTGTTAGGAAAGCTACAATTAAAAGATTTTATACTCATCAGAAGTCTTCTTCTCAAATAAATTTTAAACCAGAATCATCTCCCCTTTCCCCCGATATTAATCCAAATACTGTTATCACACATACACTTTTAAAAACTCCTTCTAAATTTTATGCTTCGAATTTTAAATCTGGACCAATTGAAGTCTTTGAAAAACTTGTTCTTAAAGACTTCGAAAATATAAAACACACCAAATACGACCATCAAAATTTAACCCGTAATGAGTTTAAGGCTCTAAAAGATCTACAAAAGGATGATGATATTGTAATAAAACCTGCCGACAAAGGTGGAGGTTTAGTCATTCTACCTAAAGAGATGTATATAAAAGAAGCAAATCGCCAACTAGCAGATTCTGAAGTTTATGAAAAACTTTCCCAAAATCCGACTTCAAAAATAAAAAATATTTTGTGTGAATACCTTACAAAAGGTCTAGACCTAGGGATCTTAAGTAAACAAGAGTTTAACTATTTGAACATCCCTTATCCAAAAATTCCAGTTCTATATTTTTTGCCTAAAATACATAAAAATGAGACAATTCCACCTGGCAGACCCATAGTATCTGGTATTAATTCCATTTTAGCTAATCTTTCAGAATACTTGGATATCCTGCTTCAACCTTCCGTTAAATGTATGAAGTCATACCTTAAAGACTCGATGTCCCTTCTAAGGATCCTGAAAGATTTTATCTGGAGCCACGAATATATTTTGGTTACGTGTGATGTCCAATCTTTATACACCATCATACCTCACGATTTGGGATGTGAAGCAGTTGAAAAAATTCTAAAGTCTGAAAATTTAATTCCTGAAAGTCAGGTTGATTTTATTATAGAAGGGATCAAGATTATTTAAACTAACAACTATTTTTGGTTTTTAGATTCATTTTTTATCCAAAAAAAAGGGACAGCGATGGGAAGAAGAGTAGCCCCCAGCTATGCGAACCTATTTATGGCCGAATGGGAATCTTCGGCCTTCTGGGGAAATCATGGCTGGAGGGCGAACCTGGTTTCCTATTTTCGCTATATAGACGACGTGTTTTTTATATGGAAAGGTTCAGAATTTGATCTTAATGAGTTTTTAAATCATCTTAACAATAACAATAAGGGAATTATCCTTACATCAGAATTCAGTAAATCTTCTATTAATTTTTTAGATCTCAATATTTTTATTCAAAATGGGTCTATCCAAACTAAAACTTTTTTTAAAAAGGTATGCACCAATACTATAATAGACCAATCTAGCTGCCATTATGGGCCATGGTTAGAAGGTATTCCTAAGAGCCAATTCCTTCGCCTTTACCGGAACTGCTCACAAATTGATGATTTCACAGCTCAATCTACTTCGCTTAAAAATAAATTTATAGAAAAAAATTATTTAAAAGAAAAATTAGATATTACTTTGAATACAGTTAAAAGCCAAGATAGAAATACTTTATTAGAATATAAAAACACTAAAAAAGATCCACCAACACTACCTATTATTTTGGATTTTAACAATAAAAATAAAGTTTTAAAAAAAATAATCAATAAACATTGGCATATTCTCAAAGAAGATGACCTTCTAAAGGATCAAATCCCAAACAGACCTAATATTATATTTAGAGGGTCCCCTAATTTTAAGAATACCCTTACAAAAAACTATACTAAAAATAATACACGTTCTAATAAGGACTTTATGACAAAACCTAAGGTTTTTTTTAGATGCAACAGATGTATTGTGTGCAAAACTACAAGTTCATCTACCTCTAAATCTAAGACCACTCATTTTTCTTCTACAAATACAGGTAAATCATATCCTGTAAAAGATTTTATTGGTTGTAATTCCAAGAATATTATTTATCTTTTAGAATGCCCGTGCCGATTACAATATATAGGTATGACAACAAGATGTTTGAAAACTAGACTTGCAGAACATTGCCGTAACATTATTAAAGGTTATGAAAATCATTCTGTATCTAAGTACTTCATTAAACATAATAAAACCCCCAAATTACTCAAATGTATGGGCATCGAACAATGTAACACCCCCTGGAGAGGGGGTGATATCCGAAACATTCTCGGAAAAAAGGAGATGTAGTGGGTACTCCATCTAAAAACACTCTCTCCAGATGGTCTTAATCTTGAGTTCGATCTTTTTAATTTCCTATAATTTTATTCCTATTTTTATATTTTATTTTTTCCTTTCTATATCCCTTATCCATTATAATACAATATTTTATGCATATGCACTTTTATACTCCCTTCTTTTTTTTATCCTTTTTACTTGTATTGCTATTTCTTTTACACACTATTCCCCATTTTTTACTTTTCAAGTGCCTTTTTTCCTTGTATTCAGATATTATTTTATTAGTTTTATAACTTCACCATATTTTATTCATCTCTTTTATTTCCAATCTTTAGAGTATTAGCTTTCCTATTATTTAGATAGAACTTTATCCCATATCTTTTACTTCCATTATTCTTTTCATTTATATATTACTTTTATCCCCATTTTCGGCTATAAACAAGCATATTGCTCGTTTTACTACATTTCCCAGCTTCCTCTTTGCGGCCACGTGATTAGACGCTAGAACGCTATTGGTTCTTCCGCGTCACGTGACCGCTGATACCCGGAAGTATACTAAGCCTACATCTCCCACTTTCCTTTATGTCCCACTCCGTTTTTATGACTATGTCATTGGTTGTCATGCGGTCACATGACCGCAAGTTAACACAATAAACCCTTCGTTTTTAATTTTATTCTACACATTAATTTGTGCATTTTTTATGTATTATTGTATATGTTTCATATATGCTTTTTTATTTTATTACCTCTGAATCTTTATTTATATCAGAATTATTGTTTTATCATACAAAAGCTGCATTACTAATTTATGCATAAATTATGACGTCATTTTGGCACCAATTTTGAAATTGTTAATGCATTGAGAGGTTATTTAAACCATTGTGAACCAGGTCTCTGTTTCTTATTGTCAGTTGAAAAAGCCCTGTGTGGCGAAACGCGTTTTGGCTATTTTATACATATCTTTTATAATCTATCAATAAAGTATTATTGGCCTATTATCTACCTTTTATACATCACTTATTATTATTTATTATTTTTTATTTTATTTATTTACTTATTATTTCCTGGACCTGGTTACTACTATTTTATATTCAAGAATCCTAGGTGGGGATGATACCACCTACGCTATATCAGTGAGCAGTATCTCCTGCTCACTTAAATGTGAGTATTTTATACACATTTTACTCCTTTTTAAGTATCTATTCATACAGTGAGCACTATTCTGTGTTATCCTTTTCTTTCCCGAGAATCTCGGCCACGTATTCATGTCTACATCCCACCAGTGGGGGACCAGTACCACTGAATGTGACATACACCTGAGCTAGTTTTAGCTCTAATATAGGTGCGTGTGATACCTCTTTACTCTGTATTTCTATAAAGAAGCGGAAAAGACTATCTATACCATTGGAGCTTTTATTTTGTTTTCTTTTGCATATTGGCACCTGGAACAAGACGTCATATCCATTTCCCTTATTCTACAAGGACTGTTTCTTTCCTTCAAGTGGACTCGATCATCCTTTGCTTATTTTAGGACTTTTTCATCTATTCTTCTTTGTATGTACTGCTATTTGTAAGTACTTACTACATCATCTACATGTATTTAACTTGTTTTATATGTTAAGATTTTTATTTTTACTGATTGTTGTATTACAATATTTTGATTTTGTTATATCTATTTTTTGGTGCGACCTAACACTCCCTTTAGATTCCCCTCTTCCATCATCGCCTGAAGCGGTTTTTCAAGAAGACATAGAAGCGGGATAGTAAGGCTGAGAATGGCGTCATCGGCACTGGCCATGTTGGTGGAGTACTAGAAACAGTGCAACAGGTGCTGTTCCACAGAGCAACTGACCCGTGCATGCTGCAGCTGAAACTTCACTTTCACCTGCTGCTGTTCGCACAGTTTCTCCAGCATGTGCAAAATGGAGTTCCACCTTGTGGGCACGTCGCATATGAGGCAGTGAGCGGGAAGGCCGAAGTTACGCTGCAGCGCAGACAGGCGAGCAGCAGCAGAGTGGGAATGCCGAAAGCACGCACAGACGGCACGCACTTTCTGCAGCAGCTCTGATCTATATGGGTAGTTTTTCAGGAATTTCTGCACCACCAAATTCAGCACATGCACCAGGCAAGGGATGTGCGTCAAACCGGCTATGCCCAGAGCTGCTACGAGATTTTGCCCATTATCGCACACCATCAGGCCGGGCTTGAGGCTCAGTTGCAACAACCACTCATCGGTCTGACCCGTGCATGCTGCAGCTTAAATTTCACTTGCGCCTGCTGCTGCTCGCACAGTTTCTCCAGCATGTGCAAAATGGAGTTCCACCTTGTGGGCACGTCACATATGAGGCAGTGAGCGGGAAGGCCGAAGTTACGCTGCAGCGCAGACAGGCTCCTACTCCAAGACGTGGACCCCAGCGACTGAGTCACCATCCTGGCCACCAAACTAGTGGTGAAGGCAGCAGATATTTACCGGTCTGTACCAGAAGAGCAGATCAGAGACTATCCCATTATTACACAAATTCTCCGGTTACCCCCGAGCAATACCGCCGAAAGTTTAGGGAGACCCGGAAAGGGGATAAGGACTCTCATGCGGAGTGGGCATGCCTCATTACAAGCTCCACCCAGAACTGGCTCAACTCCCATCAAGCCAAGTTCCTGGAGGAGATCACCCAGCTTGTCATGCTAGAGCATTTTTTCAATGGGCTCTCCAACGACACGGCTGGTGAGAGACCGCCAGCCCCAGACCCAAGAAGTATTGGTAAGAGCTGCTGAAGCTAGCTCACTATATCCCCTTGGCAGGACATTTGGGCAGGAGCTGGAGCATCTCGGCTCACCCACAGCTTCTTCTGGCCAGGCATCTCTCAGGATCTGAGGCAGTAATACCAGATATCTGCCAGAGAGTGGGGAAGAGAAGGGACTGGCACAGGGCCTCCCTCCATCACCTACCTATTAGTGAAGCTCCGTTCCGCAGAGTAGCTGTCGACATTATAGTTGTGCAGGCACTTTGGTGACTCTAGAGAAACTTGGGCCAATCGCACGTCCCCGTGAAGGTGACTTTGCATTCGGATATCTGTCCTATCAACTTTCGATGCCACTTTCTGCACCTAACATGGTGACCACAGGAAACGGTGAAGCAGGGTTCGATTCCGGAGAGGCAGCCTGAGAAACGACTACCACATCCAAGGAAGGCAGCAGGCGCGCAAATTACCCACTCCCAACGTGGGGAGGTAGTGACGACAAATAACAATACAGGACTCTTTAGAGGCCCTGTAATTGTAATGAGTTTACTTGAAATCCTTTAACTATGATCAATTGGAGGGCAAGTCTGGTGCAGAGAGACTGACCCGTGCGTGTTGCAGCTGAAACTCCACTATCGCCTGCTGCTGCTCGCACAGTCTCTCCAGCATGTGTAAGGTGGAGTTCCACCTTGTGGGCACTTCACATATGAGGTGGTGAGCGGGAAGGCCAAAGTCATGCTGCAGCACAGACAGGCGAGCAGCAGCAGGGTGAGAACGCCGAAAGCGCGCACAGCTGCTACAGTGAATGTCACATCCTGTTCCAAGTTGCGGATCAGTCTGCTGATGGCTTCTGGTATCCAGTACTCTTTTTACTGAAGCTGCATCAGGGTCCTGGTATGTGGCCGCACAAACGCCAGACCCTGCTAATCCATTCCACCAGACCCTGCTAATCCATTCCACACTGTGACTCCTAACTTCAACATCAGGCATACTGGGTCCCGGGCGTCAGACCGCCACCCAGACAGTGTCTGGATTCCAG